AGGAGGAGGAGGAGGGAGGAGGGAGGAGGAGGAAGCCTCAAAACCGACTTGCTGCATGGCCGATCCCGGACCGGGTAAGAACAGCAATCATGACGAGAGGTTTTTCCGCAGTTCCGGCCGCCGGGGGCCCCGACCGGGCCCCGGGACCGCCAACCAAACGACTCAGGGCGGAAGACTGGCCCCAGGGAGTGGGTCCACGTAGTGAAGGAATTGATGCCGTCGGGGGTCTGGGCACCCCGCCACCACCAGCGGCCGTGAGAGGGACAGCCGGTCCCAAGGGCCAGGATGTCTGCACCCACCCCCGGTTGTGGGACAGGGCCCGCACCAGTCGACCATCGTGCTGCCCTCTGCTAACAGGCCTGGCCTGTCTCGGGAGGCCACTGGCTGGCCCAACCTGCGCATCCCGCTGTCGATGCGGGCAGGGCGGCGGCGAGGGAGGACGGGTTACGAGGAAGACGTCCCACACAAGCGCCGTGCGCCTGGAGGGTCGCGCACAACCTGGCAAGAGATCGAGCGGCTACTGCGATGTGTGTCAGAGGGGGAGATGCAGCCTGGGCTGCCTCAGGCGCAGGGGCGGTACAGCGCAGGCCAGTCCACAAGAAACCCTCCACAAGAAGCCCGACCCTGGGACCCCAGGGCGTCCATGGATTTTTGGTGTGGGAGCGTCACGCCTTCCATAGCAAAACTTATGTCGCTTCCTTCGTACTTACGGACCCATCCCAAAACAATTTCGAGCACCCAGAAACGTGTCGAAAGAGTGTCGAAACAGCGTCGAAACAGTGTCAAACGAGTGTCTCCCAGGGCCCGACGCGTGAACACCCTCCAGCTTTGGGGTGCTTTCTCTGGTGCTCGAAATTATTCCTGGTGATCCAGGCTCAGGTAGTCTGGAACGTCATAAAACAAAACCATCGAGATCCAAGAAACCCAGGGCACCCTAGAGGCAGCAGGTTGAGCAGGGACCGACCGTCCCGGCATTCCTATAGTCCTACCACGAATTCTTCTTAGAACCCAAGAATGTTCGAAAAACAGAAACCATGTTCTTAGAACATAAGCCCGATGTGTTAACACAGGACCGCCCCAGCCAGATATGTTCTACGAACATTTCGTGGAAACCACAAACGGTTCTTAGAACACTGTCTGGTGGGGCTGTGGGGGCGCCAGGACGCTTCGCCACTGCTTGAGCAGGGTGCTTCTTGGCATGCGCCCCCACTGCACTGAGACATCTGCCACGCCGGCGGCCCTTCCCACCTGGCAGGGACACGTGCGGCAGGCGCGCGGCGCAGGGCCCGCCTGGCGAAGCTTCTTCTCGAGCGCCTTTCGCACCCTGTCGGCGTCCTGGCGGCACTTTCGCCCAGTCCCGCTCTAGGCGGAGAGCAACACCCAAGACCCCTCGGGCAGCGAAAAAACACTCGAAACGGGAAGCTTTCCACCGCTTTTGACCTCCAGGAGCCCTTGCTGGGCCCGGCACGATGGAAACACGACTCAGGATAAATAGCCAGTCCCATGGAAGGGGTCCAAACCTCATGGGGTCCACGCTGAGAAAAAGAGAAACAGGACGCCGGAGGCCTGGGTCCAGGAGGGCACCGGGCTATGCACCCACACCCGTCCTGGCCAGGCCCCTCGTGGGCGCAGGATCGGTGGATGCACCACCCCGGATTGGCCCCCAGAGGTCCGATGCTGTGTGTTTCCCAAGCAGCGCTTGTCTCTTTGGGTTCTGTGTGTGACCTGTCTCAGAAACGAACAAAAGGACTGACGGATGCGGGATCTGGCGGGCGACGTTGTCTCGCGTTGTCTTCCGCTGCCTCCCGTGGCCTCCCAGACCCGTGCTAGGGGTAGTACTCATAACAATTGTGACACCAACATGGGCACGAATATGACTGTTCGTATCGGTGTAACCGTTGCGAGTTTAAGTTCGAGTCGTTTTTTTTTCACATCGGCAGTTGTGCCATAACGAATGTTCGTAGTAGCATTCGGCTCAATATCCGTGTTTGTGGCGGCAAACCTGCTACTGCAAGCCATGCTGGTAGTAACCGTAATAGAAGTAGAAGTAGTAGAAGTAGTAGTAGTAGTAGTAGTAGTAGTAGTAATAGTCATAGTAGTAGTAGTAGTAGTAGTAGTAGTAGTAGTAGTAGCAGTAGTAGTAGTAGTAGTAGTAGTAGTCGTAGTCGTAGTCGTAGTAGTAGTAGTACTAGTAGTAGTAATAGTAGTAGTAGTAGTAGTAGTAGTAGTAGTAGTAGTAGTAGTAGTAGTAGTAGTAGTAGTAGTACTGGTAGTGGTACTGGTGGTGGTAGTAGTAGTCGTAGTCGTAGTCGTAGTCGTAGTAATAGTAGTAGAAGTAGTAGTAGAAGTAGTAGTAGTAGTAGTAGTAGTACTAGTAGTAGTAGTAATAGTAGTAGTAGTAGTAGTAATAGTAATAGTAAAAATAGTAGTAGCAGTAGTAGTAGTAGTAGTAGTAGTAGTAGTAGTAGTAGTAGTAGTAGTAGTAGTAGTAGCAATAGTA